ATGTAAACCTGCTGCTCCTGATGCTGAAATCGCGTTCGGTGTGAACGCACCATAAGAAACTAATATCCAGTTCTGCTTTCTACTGAAGTGGCTAAAAAAATAAAACCTGCAAAGTTTCTGAATGAGCTGCTTGAAGTTTCAGTCATCACTTTAAAACTTTTCATTAAATCCAGAACCTTTAAAATTCAGTCTGCTATAATGATGCTTCTGAATGGATTTATGTAAGGTGAATTTCTGTGCTTAAGTTTGATGCTTTTAATTATCACACTTATTACAAATACATTTATCAGATTATAAATTTGAATCATTTGTTAAACATTGTGTTGTGTTAAATTGTTAGTAGTTCAAATTGGGAGCTGGTAGCTCCAATGCTGAAATCCTTTATAATAAATGTGACACTTTAGGTTGTAAATTGTTTCTTTTTTTAAAAAAAATAAAACCAGAAACTTAGTTTAATTTGATCAAAAAGTCACACTTACAACTTGTGGCCTATCAGTTAGCATGCTAAAGCTAAACCCACGACTCTTACACAAGTTATTTTATGAAGCTAACTGTGTTAGCTAGCAGAAAACAGTAACTACACTACAGTATCAAAAAAAAATACACTGGAGAGAAACAAGTCAAAAGAAAAATACAAACCTAATATGGCCGGTTGTTGTTGTTGGCTGTTCTGTAGGTCAGTTTCACCAAAACTCAACAGTTCCTCCTCGTTTCTGCTGGTTGTTCTTTCAAACATCTCCACCATTTCTTCCACTTTAGCCTCCAGTAGCTCTGTGACTTGTCTCCACATCTTTTAACCTTCAACACATCCCTCCCTACTGGAGAGAGAAAAAAAAAAACACATTGGTTTCTGATTTTAAGCGCTGGATCCCACAGCCGCTGTTGGTACCACTCTGAGTCTAGCTAGCTTGATCGCTAACAAACAAATTCAAATTCAAAAAAACTTTATTGATCCAAGAAAAATCTAGAGAATATTAAAGACGATGCTAAACAGCAAATTTGTAGTTTGCTAAAACTGTATGTTACCTCTCCCATCACAAAAGGAAAAGCACCATATTTACTGAACACCCCTCTGTTTCTGCAGAAAATGGTTTGTTCCAGCAGAAGGCGTTTAGCTGCATTTAGTAAAATCAGAGAATAACAAAGCGTGAATAACCATATTGTCTAGAACAATAATAAAAAGATGATAAAGGAGGACAGTAAAATAATCCAGCTTTATGCTTTTGTTTAGATTAAAATATGTCCATTAAATGGCATATATAATTACAGATTGTATTGTTCCCATCATCATTTGAGAAATAACTTGTTTTTCTGAGCCGTCTTTAAACGCACCAGGAGCATGAGCAAGCTGAGGCTACACCTGCAAATCAAAGAGAGGAATAGTAGCTTGGGTGAGACTCTTTTTTCATTTTCTTTCTTTTTTT